TGCTATAAATGGCACTTTGACTTTGGAATGTCTCTGGCTTCCGTTTATTCATTAGTCAGAGAATGATGGCAGATTATTTCTGAAGACCCCTTTTGTCCTATAAATCTCATGGTTCTCAACAAGAGGGAAACAGGAACAACGGGCAGAAACCAGCAAGAGGCTGAGGAAACCAAACCAATGAATTTTGGATTGTAGCTAACCGAGGAGAACCGCGTGTGCCACAGGTGATGAAAGTCAGATGTGTAAAAAGGAAGAAGGAAACAAAATGAAGATGAGCCCTAAGAATTCAGCGTTTTGCCCTGGTACAACTAGGAACATCAGGAAAGCCACACTTGATGAGGCCCACATTTTTCCAAGCCAGTTTTTACTCTGACAGGGTTACCTCAAGTGATTGAGAGAGGGTAGACGGGTTGACTACACTCATTCAATCTGCCAAATTAGAAAAGTCACCCAGAATACCCTGTGCTTTTTGAGTGATTTTCATGTTTATGAAAATTCCTTAGCTTGCTATTTTGTTATTCAAAAGGATTATAAACATAGAGCATTCATGTATAATACCTTTCATAACTCATGTTAAAATGCTGATGTTACTGGATTTCTCAGGAACAGTACTGTTCTATTTCTCCATTCAAAAAGGTTAAAAAAAATTAATTACTCTATTTTCATCATTAATCCCATTTCCCCCATTGTCTTTGTATTCTACATAGGAAGCATGCCATAATTGAATTTACTCATCTATATAAAACAGTACTTTAATCCTATTCTGAAAATCAAAATATATTTTTGAAAATCAAAATATGTCAAAATTGAAAATCAAAATGTGTCAAAATATTGAAAATTTAAATATATCAAAATTAATTATATTTGATGTATCCCTCAAAAAATTGATTTCTCCTTACAGAAATCTTTTTGCTTTCCTGGAGAAACACTGGGTTCAAGTGCAGCTTTCTTCATTCTATTCTGGTCTGTCCAATATATGAAAAGCGCAAGCACACAATGATCAGTGACAGATTCGCTATGAAGCTAATGAAGCTTCATGGGGCCCTTCCCTTGTGCAGAGCCCCTTCCAGTGCTTGGGGAAGGGCCCAAGCAATTTTATTCTCATAATTTGTAGTACCTTCCTTAGAGAGGCCCCACTACTGTGTACATTTTATGCACCACAAAACCTGAATTCACCCCATGATGTCCTAGCTGTAATTAAGCTTTCCTTCCTGTTAAGGAGGGACGCTTACCCAGCCATTTGATGTAGGGTCTGAAGATAAATAACCTATTAGCCCCAAACTAGAAGTGTTAAATCATTAAGACAAAATTTGAGAATGATACGGCTGCTATAATGGCAATCTTTGGATAATACTGTCCAGGCTGATGGAAAGTGTAAGGACTCCACTTTGCTTTGTAAAAAATACAAAAACACGGCCGTGGAAGTACAGTACATTTTGTATGGAACATTGTACCAAATGTCATGTTAAATTAATGATTCAAGATAAAATTATGCAGACCAAATTTGACCAGGGTTTTAAAAGGTTCTCTCTCCATGAAGCAGGCTGGCCACGATCTTCTCTCTAGGTTTGAAGGTAAGGAGGTTCCCTGTGAAATATGAAAGTAACGCCTAAGTGAACTGTCTGCAATCTAAGAATTGGTGAATTGGTTGCAAAGAAAGGCAGACTACGCCCTCCCAGGGATCTCTCTTGCAGTTTGACAGAGAAAGAATCTATGCAGCCTTCAGAAATGCAGTGAAAACAGTATAATCAGATATGACTAGGAAAAAAAAAAAAACAACTGGTGTTCATTTGCATGTCAACACCTAGAATTCTCTGCTAGTTCACCTCTTCTTCAGAATGCAGAAAGGACTGAAGAAGCTGAAATGGAGCCTGGCGCAGTGGCTCATGCCTGTAATCCCATCACTTTGTGAGGCCAAGGTGGGTGGATCACCTGAGGCCAGGAGTTCAAGACCAGCCTGGCCCACATGGCAAAACCCAGTCTCTACTAAAAAAAAAAAAAAAAAAGTACCCGGGCGTGGTGGTGGATGCCTGTAATCCCAGCTACTCTGGAGGCTGAGGAGAATCGCTTGAACCCGGGAAGTGGAGGTTGCAGTGAGCCTAGATTGCGCCATTGCACTCCAGCCTGGGCAACAGGAGGGAAACTCCATCTCAAAAAAAAAAAAAAAAACTGAAATGGTTTGGCATGATGGTGGGGTGCTGATTCCTCTCTCTGTCCTTGAGTATTTACTGCCAGGAAATCCTGACCAACATCAATTGCCAAGGGGTTAAAGTCACATTGTTGTTAAATTGGGAGAGAAAATTAGCAGGATTTTGTGCCCTGTGTTTAACTATTACAGAGTTTCGAAAACAGGAACCTGTAGCTTTATATGAGGGGACAGGGGAAGTAAAGGGGAAGAGTGACAAGGGTGATTTATCAGGGCATACTTCCAGATAAATCACTTACATGGAGGTGAAAGAATTTCATGCATATGTTCTGTGCCAAGAAGCCAAATGGTTGAGCAGAAGCTCCTCTGAAAGTTGAAGTGGGCAGTTCTGGGTACAGTCTTTCCACATGTGAAAAGGCGATGATTTTGTATTCATGTTATTTGTACTCCTACATGTGCAGTTGGTCTTTTCAGGTGTCCAGACCATCATTTTCTCATGACATTAAAGAAAGCCAATAAAGGCTAGTTGTGGTGGCTCACACCTGTAACCCTAGCACGCACTTAGGGAGGCCAAAGCAGGACGATTGCTTGAGCCCAGGAGTTCAAGACCAGCCCAGGCAACATAGCAAGACCTCATCTTAAAAAATGAAATAATTTTTTTTTAGAAAAAGAAAGTCAGTATTTCATTAATATATATTATAATACACTATAAAATGCCTGTAGGACAAAGAAACACGTTTTCTCTAGGTTCTGTGACAGCATCATTATCCATTCAAATTTTTCTCACAATTAGAACCTGACATTCTGGAAAAATACAGTAAATTTTCATTGATGTTACTTGCTCTGCCCCCCTTTTATTTCTCCCATTAATAATATTAATCCTGAAAAGAAAAAAAGAAAAAGGAAAAAAACCACCCAAGCGAAATGTTTAAGAAATACGGTACGGACAGTTTGGTCCCTTGAAAAATTAGAGCCACCAGGTAAACCTGTTCTGGGGTCCTCACATCTGTCCCCTTTTGGAGTTTGGTAAGTAGTACAGTTGAAGTGAATTTTTTTGTAACAAAAGTAAAAACTTCCAGAATAACTCCAGTAAAGGGTGTTGATGTGACGTTGATGTGGGTATTACTTCCTCCAGTGTAGAACAAACTTAATCTTTTGATGAAAATCATAGAGTTCCATAGATATGAATAGAATCTCCAACCAGTGCATCTTGAAGCCAGCTGCCACGGCCACTCATGCACCTTCTCTGTGCCCATTCAGGAGGGAATTCTCAACATCTTTGCTCAAAACAATGTTTACTTTTAGTCCATCAGAGACTTCATGTTTGTTGTGCATGCACACTCACAGCTCTCCACACATATGCCCACTCCCCACACACATCCTGCTTCTGAGAAATACAACTAGAATTTCCTCTGGAGAAGAGGTGGAAACCCCTGATTGAGAAATTTAAGGCCTAGGAAAGGTAAATGACTTTTCTTAGGTCGCATAGTTCACCACAGAACCAAAGCTAGAATGCAGATACCCTCAGCTCTTCTTCCAGTGCTTTCAGGTATACAAGTATTTGAACAGGATTCAAGGTTTAACTCCTTACGTGTCTTTCAGTGTATCCGGTGTAAGTAAAATGTTGCCCCTTAGAGCAGCCTTGAGAATTTCTCAATGACTACAGACTTTGGTTAGTTCTATACAAGGGAAGTGAGAGAGAGATAATGTCATGACCAAATGACTTAACTTTTGAAAGCAGCCTATTGCAAACTTAAGTAACTGGGGCATGTATTTTATTGATTGACCTGTAAGGACAGATATTTTAAAATATAAATTCAAAACTGTTTTTTGCAGCATTCACCTATAGGCGTTCTATATCTGCTCTTTGTGAAGTAGATGGCTTCCAGAGCATTAAAAAAAGAAATAGACATTTTCTTGGTTCAATAGCTCTAATCTGCTTTCAGAGTGATTTTTTAATAGTTAAGCATATTTTATGTGCACATAGTTTCATTTGCGATCTGAGAGGATTTCATCTAAAACTGAAAAGTTATTACTCGTGAAGGAGAACAAAGGAAAAGGAAAAAAAAAATTTAAGAAAAAAAAATTCTTCTAAGCCTCTAAAGTTGCTTTATGTTCAAGTGGGTATTTTCAACCCTGAGTTGCTGAAATGATTTTTTATTGAAAGAAGGTTAAAAGTGTATTTCATTGAAAGCCAAGATAAACAGTAGATTTTGTATCATTTTAAAAATCAACAATTGGCTGGGCATGGTGGCTTACACCTGGAATCCCAGCACTTTGGGAGGCCAAGGCGGGCAGATCACTTGAGGCCAGGAGTTCAAGACCAGCCTGGCCAACATGGTGAAAACCTGTCTCTACTAAAAATACAAAAACCAGCCGAGCGTGGCAGTGTGTGCCTGTAATCCCAGCTACCCAGGAGGCTGAGGCATGAGAATTGTTTAAACCTGGGAGGTGGAGGTTGCAGTGAACCCTGATTGTGCCACTGTAATTCAGGCTGGGCAGCAGAGCAAGACTCTGTCTCAAAAACAAACAAAATAAATAAATAAATATAAAAATCAACAGTGAAGACTCCCCAAACAAAAGAAATTGGGATTCTTAGCCAGTCATAGGTAAAGTGTTACAGTGTAAATTAAAGGGAAAGAAGACCAAAATTGGTGAAATATGTTTGGTCCCAGAAGATAATTAAGATGAATAAAAGAACTTGAGAGTATTTTCTCATTATTAAGCATCTTCAGCTTTAAAGATTTTAGTTAGCAAAGCAAGTTTACATAAAGAAACAGTTTTCTGAACTGGGATGGCATTCACTAAGTTAGAAATCTCCAAGTCACCCATGTTTTCCCTGTTTTATTTGCAGCCATTCGTTATCTATGACATGAATTCCTTAATGATGGGAGAAGATAAAATCAAGTTCAAACACATCACCCCGCTGCAGGAGCAGAGCAAAGAGGTGGCCATCCGCATCTTTCAGGGCTGCCAGTTTCGCTCCGTGGAGGCTGTGCAGGAGATCACAGAGTATGCCAAAAGCATTCCTGGTTTCGTAAATCTTGACTTGAACGACCAAGTAACTCTCCTCAAATATGGAGTCCATGAGATCATTTACACAATGCTGGCCTCCTTGATGAATAAAGATGGGGTTCTCATATCCGAGGGCCAAGGCTTCATGACAAGGGAATTTCTAAAGAGCCTGCGAAAGCCTTTTGGTGACTTTATGGAGCCCAAGTTTGAGTTTGCTGTGAAGTTCAATGCACTGGAATTAGATGACAGCGACTTGGCAATATTTATTGCTGTCATTATTCTCAGTGGAGGTAAGATTTGTCTTTTGATCCTCTATGAAAGAGGGTGGGATGATGGTGGGATGGCCAAAAGAATTTTGGATTTCCTTATTAGTCTGCGTTCTTTGTCGCTTTAAGTGCCAATGGCATAATGCCATGAATCACCTCTACACGTGCAAAACGCTGTACCAAGAAAGAGTATCATAAGTTTGCAGTATGAAAGTTATGAGTAACCCAGGATCTTCTCTTTCTTCCCTCAACAATATAGTTTTTCCAATCAAATGCCCTCTTCTTTTTCTTTTCTTTTTCTCTTTCTTTCCTTTCCAGAAAGGAAGATTAGAGGCCAATCTAATCTTTGGTTCCTGTAAGTAATGGCATGTATAACTTTGCTTAAGACAATGCTTACTTGACGTAGAGAAGGAACTACTAAGTGTTTCTGGTCAAATCATGCTCCTGCCCTTCCAACAGTAAGATACTACTTTGAATTGCTTTTGTGATATCAGGAATTAAGGCATACCTACAGACCTCCACCCACTCTCTTGTGTGGATTCCTCTGATGGCTTCCCTTCAAAATACCTTTGTGAGGTAGTTGGTTGTGATTAAGAATGCAATCTGAACCGAACACACAACATAGAAATAAATTTAGTTATTTAGCAATTTGTTGTATTTTTGGCCCTGCAAGTATATGATCTGACTAACCAGTTCCAAAAGCCAGATTTTTACTGAGTGTGGCTTTTTTTTTTTTTTTTTTTTTGTGAGACAGGGCCTCACTCTGTCACCCAAACTGGAGTGCAGTTGCATGATCATAGCTCACTGCAGCTTCTAACTGCAGTTAGTAAGCTATGATCATGCCACTTCATAGAAGTAATACATGGCCATTTTACAGTTGGGCTCAAGTGATTCTCCCACCTCAGCCCCCTGAGTAGCCAGGACTACAGGGGCACACCAACATGCCCTGCTAATTTTTAAAATTTTTTTGTAGAGATGAAGTCTCGTTATGTTGCCCAGGCTGGTTTCAGATTCCTAACCTCAAGTGATCTTCTCGCCTTGGTCCCCCAAAGCGCTGGGATTGTAGGCATAAGCCACCATGCCCAATCTAAACTTTACTTTCAATAGCCTCTCATGAGTAGAAGAAAGTTTTACTTTCATCTCTCTGTATAAAAAATTTTTTAAGTGGCAAGTTTTCCTATTGAAGTGGACTTCAGGTGAGCTTTTTATATGTACTCTACAGTATATCCTCTGTGAAAAACCCATCAGGGGATAGTGGTAAACTGTGTATAACTGCACAATGTGTTATAAAGAGCCGATCTTTTGTTGTCCAGTTGAAAGGAGAATGTTTCTGAAATCAGGTGCATAGTAAAGTAGTCATAAGAACAGCAAACATTTATTTAGTATTTGCTGTGTGCCAGGCAGTATTCTAAGCACTTTGTGTATATTTATTCAATCCTTACAACAATTCAGGGAAGTAAGGACCATTTTACAAATGAGGAAACCAAAGCGCTGAGAGGTTTTCTCATTTGCCTGAGGTCACGTGGCTAGCAAAAGATGGAGACAGGACTGTGAACCAGGCACGCTGGCTCAGACTCTACACTCTCTACCATCACATCATGTGGAATACCGGCCTTTAAATGCCTAGGGTGCAAATAGATTACAATACCCATAGTTTACCTTTGGAGCTGTAAGTCCAGGGTCCAGTTGTGATTCGCTTTAAAATAACTACTTGATATTATAGCTTTTTATTGTTGTTGTTTGCTTTTTGTTTTTGAGCCAAACTCTCGCTCTTGTTGCCCAGGCAGGAGTGCAATGGCACGATCTCGGCTCACTGCAACCTCCACCTCCTGGGTTTAAAGGATTCTCCTGTCTCAGCCTCCCGCGTAGCTGGGATTACAGGCACATGCCACCACACTCGGCTAATTTTTGTATTTTTAGTAGAGACGGAGTTTCATCGTATTGGTCAGGCTGGTCTCGAACTCCTGACCTCTGGTGATCCGCCTGCCTCGGCCTCCCAAAGTGCTAGGATTACAGGCATGAGCCACCGCGCCCGGCCGATATTACGTTTAATAGAACAAAAATATACTACCTGGCATGGTTTAATATCTTGACCACATCTACTTCCTAAATTAATCCCTGACTCTCTGGTATCTTTGATTAATTCAGCAAAAAAGGATGAGATTCCAGTATAAGGCTTGCCAGAAGAAAAATATTAAATTTTGAAAAACCAGTTTAGAAAAACAGTTGATATTATTTATCTTGTATTTTATTTTACTTCATTTTATTTTATTTTATTTTTTGAAATGGAGTCTCGTTCTGTCTTGCAGTGGCGTGATCTCCACTCACTACAACCGGGTTTTCCTCCTCCCAGGTTCAAGCGACTCTCCTGCTCAGCCTCCCTAGTAGCTGGGATTACAGGAATGTACCACCACACCCAGCTAATTTTTGCATTTTTACTAGAGACAGGGTTTCACCATGTTGGCCAGTCTGGTCTCAAGCTCCTGACCTCAGATGATCCACCTGCCTTGGTCTCCCAAAGTGCTGGCATTGCAGGCATGAGCCACTGCACCCAGACTATTTATCTGCCATTTTAAGGCACATTTTATTTTTAATAAAATTTGGAAATATATTAATATTTAATTTATTTCAAATATTTTTCCTAAGCATACTATATATCCCATGTCTATTCTTTTCACTTAGTCAATTTCCCATGTCATTACATACTCTTCATTAATACTTTTCATTAACTTTTTTTTTTTTGAGATGGAGTCTCACTCTGTCGCCCAGGCTGGAGTGCAGCGGCGCTATCTCTGCTCACTGCAAGCTCCGCCTCCCGGGTTCACACCATTCTCCTGCCTCAGTCTCCCCAGTAGCTGGGACTGCAGGCGCCTGCCACCACGCCCGGCTAATTTTTTGTATTTTTCATAGAGACGGGGTTTCACCATGTTAGCTAGGATGATCCCGATCTCCTGACCTTGTGATCCGCCCACCTCAGCCTCCCAAAGTGCTGGGATTACAGGCATGAGCCACTGTGCCCAGCCGACTTTTCATTAACTTTTTAAATAAAAGTAATACACGGTCATCTTATAATTGAAAGAGTACAGAAAGGTGTAAGTGAAAAGTAAAGGGCTTTGCCCTCAGGATAAAATAGAATTAACAAAGTCCTATTTTTCCTATCAAGAAGTTTACGTGCACACTCATGTATATATAGATATATACATTCATATATGTGTATGTTCATAGCAGTTTGTATTCCTACCCACATACACGAAGGGAAGCATTTGAAATGAACCATTCAAAGGTACTTAGTTTCTACTAGGCAAGGTCTACACAAGAAACAGTCATGAGAATTCTGGGCTTTATGAAGTGAGATCTGAGTCTCAGGCATAGAGAATGAGATCCACCTCCTTGATTGTGCTTCATTAGAGTAAGACAAAATTTCTCAATTGGTTTTTCCTCCTATTCCGGATTTTCCATTCAGCTAAGCAAAAGGCTTTCATCCACTAAACAAATTTCTGATCCTACCCAGTCTTAACAAGAGTGATTCTTTTCTCCTCTGCAGTTTACTCTAAAGTCTATCAATTACTTTGGTGGTTTCAGAAAGAAGTGCTTTTGGTGGGGATCCAGTTGGCCTCCTCCTGAGCTGGCTGTGGACTCACAGAAGAACTGCACTTCAGCAAAGGCACTTAGGGCCCCAGACTAAAAGAAAGATGAGCAAGATGTGCATCATCTAAGAGTGGGCGGGGGTAAGGAATTGGGGATTAATGGGGGTGTCCCTAGAGGACCCAAAGAGGAGATTTTTAGATGAAAGTAACTGATTTGACCCAACTCAGTATTTGCTGGGGAAACTGGAGTTGCTACCTAAGATTGCTGCCATTAAACTTCAGCCTTAAAAACTGCTGATACCATTTGATTGGTACTTAGATTTGCCCGGGCTTAGCATCTCCGCTGTTCACTCAGCTCTCAAATCAAGCTGCTGAGAAAGATGACCTAGTTCTTCTTGAGTCTTTCTCCCCTCTCTCTCTCCTGAGCTTGGGGACAAAAATTAAACTAAATAAAAGGAACAGCAACCTATTCTAGAACCAAAGTTCAGGACTTTGTACCTTTTTAAGAGCATTTCATGTACATTCTCTCATTCAATCCTGACAGTGCTCCTAGGCTCCTAATTCTCATTTCACAGAAAGAAAAGTGAGGGTCATAGACTTAAGCGATTTGTGTAAGATTCAACAACTAGTGCCACAATGGAACTAACATTGAAACCTGGGTGTCCTAACTGCCCCCTCTGGCTCTGGCCAGTGGATTGTGGTCAATAAACTCACTCTTGTGTTGGTGGCTGCAACCTGCTCTCTCTTCACTGTATCCCTAAAGTAGGCCCATATCTAGAAGCCAGGAACAGTGCTTCCTTGGTCATCATGGTAAGCAATAACTTTCCTTGCACTCCCTAGTCTTACTGACAGGCTGGGCGGCGTCAAGAGTAATAAAACTGCCTCCAGCAAAGCCATGTTTGCAACTGGCGCCACAACATCATGCCAGCCACCCTAGCAAACTCCCAAAACCTACCCAGCAGCCAAAGCCAAGCATAAAGCTCAGTGAAGCTGACAAGCCCCAGGACACTCTGGTGGATGTTTTGCCCCCTTGAGTGTTTGCTGTTTTGTGAAGAAAAAGTCTAGGAGAGTTCCAGCTGGAACTCTGCAACAGGCAAAAGCTCTTTTTGTTAATTCAAAACAGTTTGGAATCCATTTCAGTTCTTCCTAAACCTCCAAGATACAGGGGAGGAAATTCACTGGATTTTACAATATATTTTTCAAGGCAAATTGCCATCGCTGTCCTAATGACAGAGGAGCTGCCGATATCACTACAATGGCCGCAGATGGCAAGTCATCCAGTCTCCTCCTGTGCCCTCCTGAGTCTGGCTTGGTGACGCAAACCACCTCGAGGGCAGCTCCTTCTTTTTCCAGCAGTTCCGGCACTGTTCCTTCTCTGTGAAGCCACTTTGGAGGGCTGTTCTTGGCATGATCATAGACTTTTCTGCTGTTGAGTGG